CCTGAATCTTAAAACACTTAAAAATAGCTAAAATTTAAAGAAAAATTTTAAAGATTTTATTTATTTGACAGAGAGACACAGCGAGAGAGGGAACACAAGCAGGGGGAGTGGGAGAGGGAGAAGCAGGCTTCCCGCTGAGCAGGGACCTGGATTTGGGGCTCGATCCCAGAACCCTGGGATCATGACCCCAGCCGAAGGCAGAAGCTTAACGACTGAACCACCCAGGTGCCCCTAAAATTAAAAATTGTAAGTATTTATTTTTAAAGATTTATTTATTTGCGAGAGAGAGAGCAAGCAGGAGGGGCAGAGGGAGAGGGAGAAAGAAGAATCCCAAGCAGACTCCCCGCTGTGCACAGAACCGGACCTCGGGGCTCCATCCCAGGACCCCGAGATCACAACCTGAGCTGAAATCAAGAGTCAGCAGGTCAAACAACTGAGCCACCCACGCGCCCCTGTGTTATGTATACTTTACCGTTTTTTAAAGATTTTATTTATTTATTAGAGAGAGAAAACAAGCACGCTTGCAACTGGGGGGGCAGAGGGAGAAGCGGGACTCCCCACTGAGCAGGGAGCCCGACCTTTGCCATGATTTTTTTTAATACCATGATTTTTAAAAACAAAAATTTTAGCCTTTTCTAAATGTCACAACAAAAAAACTGAACAAAGATGTTATTTATCACTGTTAAGGAAAAAAAAACTGTTAGCAATATGAATGCTTACAAATAGGGAAATCTTCAAATAACTTCAGACATAGGGGCACCTGGGTGGCTCAGTCATTAAGCATCTGCCTTCGGCTCAGGTCATGGTCCCAGGGTCCTGGGATCGAGCCCCGCATCAGGCTCCCTGCTCCGCAGGAAGCCTGCTTCTCCCTCTCCCACTCCACCTGCTTATGTTCCCTCTCTCAGTGTCTCTCTCTGTCAAATAAATAAATAAAATCTTAAAAAAAAAAAAATTATGTCCAGGGACACCGGGGTGGCTCAGTTGGTTAAGTGTCTGCCTTCGGCTCAGGTCGTGATCCTGGGGTCCTGGGATCAAGCCCCTCATCGAGCTCCCTGCTCAGTGGGGAACCTGCTTCTCCCTCTCTCTCTGCCCCTCCCCCCACTTGTGCACAAGCACGCTCTCTCTCGCTCTCTCTCGCAAAAGTAAATAAATAGATAAAAATCCTTAAAAAAAATTATGTCCGAAAGGGGTTTAGAAAAACTTAGGGGAAGTTTATAAAAAAAAAAAATGCACGTCACAAAATTTAGTATTTGTGCTCATATAGTCTGTATGATTGGAACAATCTTAACAACAATGACAAAAGCTACATGTACATTAAAGGCTAGAAATTACCTTACAGAAACTCTTGCATATGGATACCCAGAATGTGTACAAGAATATTCATAGCAGCATTGCTTACAATAACAAAACCTAGAAACCCTACAAATGTCCATCTCCAAGGAGAATGGATAAGCAAAGCTGGGTATCGTCCTACAGTGGAATTTGGGGGCAATCACAATAAAGGAACTTCTGCAATGTGTATCAACGTGAGTGAATTTCACAATTCTGACCAATAAACAAAAAGAAAAACCCAGAGACTGAAGAATATGCACATAATGGTTCTGCTTATAGAAGTTCAAGAATATGCAAAAGTAGGCGCCTGGGTGGCTCAGATGGTTAAGCGTCTGCCTTCGGCTCAGGTCATGATCCCAGGGTCCTGGGATCGAGTCCCGCATCGGGCTCCCTGCTCCTTGGGAGCCTGCTTCTCCTTCTGCTTCTCTCCCTCTCTCTCTCCCTCTGTCTCTCATGAATAAATAAATAAAATCTTAAAAAAAAAAAGAATATGCAAAAGTAACATTGTGTTGTTTAGGGACGCATCCAGAAGTTGAACTTTAAAGAAAAGAGCCCTGCAACTGCTAGGCAGCTTTTTAACCACCTTGGAGCCCTATCCCAAACCATGGACCAAATGGAAACAATAAAGCTTTCCGCAGAAAAAAGGAAAGGAAAAGAAAGGACAAGTATGATAAACAAAATTCCAGAATGTGGTTAATTCTGGGAAGTAGCATAGGGATGATTGTGGAGGGGCTCACAGGGCACTTCAAAGACACTGGGGTTGGATGTTCTAGTTCTCAATCTGAGCAGTAGCTACACAAGTGTTTTATTATTTATTCTTTTAAACTGTACATGTATGGTTTACATTATCTTTCTTAAATATACATATTTCATAACAAAAATTAATTGAAATAATAAAAAGTCTGGAAAACACTGTTAATAATAACTCTCTGATTTTGAGAAGATTAGTGGATTTCCCTCTATTCCTGTCTGTTTCTCTCTCCCTTTCTCTCTCCCCATTTCTCTCTCTCTTGACTCTACTATATTTTTCAAGATTTCTAGACTATTATGTTTTTATAACACTTAAAAAAAAGTCAAATGGATATTCAAATGAGTCATCCTGGAATACCTTTACAAACCACATAGGGAATAGTTTTGGATCATCCATTCTTCCAAGATTTGAGGCAGCCAGAAATCTCCTTCCATTAGTGACCAGGGTTGAGGGTTAACTGCAACTCACCCTGATCAATCACGGATGTGGCTTGACTTTAGCTAAAGGTCTGATTAATTATACATGTATTCATAATAAACTGAGATGGTGTGTACTGAAACTCAGGACCAGCATGGTAAACAGGAACCAAGCACTCAGATTCACACCTGCCCAGTCTGTCCGGGATCTTGCAGATATTCTGCTCCTTTCAACTCCCATGCATGAGCATTTTTGTTTTCATGCACATTCACTGGAAACCTCTAAGGTTGCAGCCCATTTCTGCCTCATCAGTCTGGGAGTTTCTTGTGAGATCACGCCTTTCAGCACACTGGAAACCTCAGGGCAGAATCCATGTTGTTTCCTTTCTCGAAGTGAGCCGTTTCCATTATGTTCATCAACTCAGATCTCCTTTATTATTTTTCCATGAGCCCAGTGTTTTGAAAAATGTTGCCTATCAAAAAATTCCAATGACCAAGTAATAAATTGTTCTCAGAGTGAGTGGCTAAGCAGAGCTTCTACATAAGTGGCAAGAAGTTATACTATTCCCACCAAAAGTAAAGGGACTTGGAATTGGAATTTGTCCATACAGCCTTGCCTGGAGCAGGTGTCTGATTTGCATGAGATATCCTAACTGACTGAAAATAGTTTATGGATACTACTGTGCCCATTACACCTTCTTTCCTTCCTTCTTAGATCCCGGATCTGGGGAGCCTAGGGTTAGAGAAACATTCCTTAGGACCAGCTTTCCCGGTTCCAGCGCTATGCCCAGGAGAAGAGCAGAAAAGAAAAGAAAAGAAAAGAGAGAGGATGTTGTAAAATGTGGTAAACACCTAAGGTGGGTAGCTTCATGGTTTCTACTTTGTAGTCAACTATGCCACGGATAAGCAGCAAAACCAGGATTCCAGCCTGATTGTCCTGGATCCCAAGTCCTTGTTCCTGCCCTTATATAAGTGCAGCATTTAAAAATCCTAGTGCATGGAGCGCCTGGCTGGCTTGGTCCATGGAGCATGCAACTCTTGATCTTCTTAAAACATAAATAAATAAAAATTCTAGTACAACCCACACATATATCACAATCTATTTATTTATTTAGACTTTTTATTTTATTTTTTTATTTATTTGACAGAGAGAGAGAGCAAGCACAAGCAGGGGGAGCAACAGAGGGAGAGGGAGAAGCAGGCTTCCAGCTGAGCAGGGAGCCCGACATGGGGCTCAATCCCAGGACCTTGGGATCATGACCTGAGCGGAAGGCAGATGCTTAACCTACTGAGCCACCCAGGAGCCCCACAATTTAATTTTTTTTAAGATTTATTTATTTATTTGAGAGAGAGATAGCAGGGGGAGGTGCAGAGGGAGAGAGAGAATCTCAAGCAGACTCCTCGCTGAGTGCAGAGCCCAACATAGGGCTCAATCCCAGGACCCTGAGATCATGACCTGAGCAAATCAAGAGTCAGACACTTAACCGCCTGAGCCACCCAGGCGCCCCTATCACAATTTATTTTATGCAGAGGTGTAAAGATAACTCAACAGAGAAAGGATACTCTTTTCAACAAATACTGTTGAAACAATTGGATATTTAAATGCAAAAAATAAATTTCCTTCCACATCCCATCCTATATACAAAAATTAACTCAATCATGTACTTTAATCATTTGAGTCATATAACTAACTGTAAAGCCAAAAGCTATAAGGCTTCTAGGAGAAAACCTTTGTGACCTTGAGTTAGGCAAAGATATCTTAGATATGCCACCAAAAGCAAAATTCAAAAAGCCAAATTGATTAATAGGACTTTATCAAAATTTCAAAAAGAACAAAAAAAAAAACCCCTCTTGCCTCTAGAAGGTAACCATTAAGAGAATGAAAAGATGAGCCACAGACTGGGAGAAAAGTATTTTGTAAATCATGCATCTCATAAAGGACTTTTATCCAAAATATGTAAAGAACTCTCAAAATTCAATATCAAGGGCGCCTGGGTGGCTCAGTTGGTTAAGCGACTGCCTTCGGCTCAGGTCATGATCCCAGAGTCCTGGGATCGAGTCCCACATCAGGCTCCCAGCTCAGTGGGGAGCCTGCTTCTCCCTCTGACTCTCTCCCCTCTCATGCTGTTTCTCTCTTGCTCTCTCTCTAATAAATAAATTTTAAAAATCTTAAAAAAAAATTCAATATCAAGAACACAAACAAGCCTCTACCCCCGAAATGGGTGAAAAATGTGAACAAACATTTCACACGTCAAATGTTATAACCACTTCAGAAAACAGTTTGGCAGTGTTCACTGCAGCTGTGCATACATTAAAATTGGAATGATACTGGGGCGCCTGGGGGGCTCAGTCGTTCAGCGTCTGCCTTCGGCTCAGGCCATGGTCCCACGGTCCTGGGATCGAGCCCCGCATCGGGCTCCCTGCTCGGCGGGAAGCCTGCTTCTCCCTCTCCCACTCCCCCTGCTTGTGTTCCCTCTCTCACTGTGTCTCTCTCTGTCAAATAAATAAATAAAATATTTTTAAAAAATTGGAATGATGCAGAAGAGATTAGCACGGCTCCTGCATGAAGGTGACACACAAATTCGTGAAGCGTTCCCTATTTTTGATGCAGTTGATGTGTGATAACGTGGACTTGTGAACATTAACAGTGGACGTCAACTGTCACATTGTACAAAATCTCTGAAGTATAATTAAAAGTTTTTATTGAGCCCCTGGGAAAAAAAGAAAAGAAAACAGTTTGGCAGTTTCTTAAGAAGTTAAACATATCCCAATCCTCAGTATTTACTCAAGAAAAAGGAAAGCATATGTCCATAAAACAACTTGTCCACAAATGTTCACAGCAGCTTTATTTGTAATAGCAAAAACTTGAACAACCTAAATGTCCATCAACAGGTAAATTGATAAGCAAACTGTAATATATTCATATGATAGAAGAATCTTTCTCAGCAATAAAAAAAGAACAGACTATTGCTCATGCTACAACTGAATCTCAAAATCAGTATGCTGAATGAAAGAAACCAGACAAAAAAGAATACATACTGTATGATTCCATTTGTATAAAAGTTTAGAAAATACAAACTAATCTATAGTAACAGAAAGCAGGTCAGCGGTTGGAAGAGGTGAGCAGGAGAGAAAGGGCTCAAGGAAATTTCGGGGGATGGTAGATATGTTCACTACTTTATTTTTTAATTTTTTTTTTTAAGTAGGCACAGAGCTTGAAATCACAGCCCTAAGATCAAGACCTGAGCAGAGAGCAAGACTCGGTCACTCAATGACTGCATAACCCAGGTGCCCCAATTTTTTTAAGTAAGCTCTCTGCCCAACATGGGGCTTGAACTCACTACCCCAAGATCAGGAGGTGCATGCTCTACCTGCTGAGCTAGTCAGGTGTCTCAATATTCGCTACTTTGATTGTAATGATGGTTTCATGGGAGAAGACATATGTTAAAACATCAATTATACACTTTACATTAAATATGTGCAGTTAATTATGTGTCAGTTATACCTTGATAATGCTGTTTTTAAAAAACTCTAGGGGCACCTGGGTGGCTCAGTCGTTAAGCGTCTGCCTTCGGCTCAGGTCATGATCCCAGGGTCCTGGGATCGAGCCCCACATCGGGCTCCTTGCTCAGCAGGAAGTCTGCTTCTCCCTCTCCCTCTCCCACTCCTGCTTATGTTCCCTCTCTCGCTGTGTCTCTCTCTGTCAAATAAATAAATAAATCTTTAAAAAATAAAATAAAATAAAAACCTTTATACCGTGGAGGGAGTGGTGAATTGGAAAATAACCATTTTCCATCATCGTAGTGAAGACGGGTTCACTTCTTCAAGCAAGAATCAATGGTCATGAGGAGCCTGGGTGGCTCAGTCAGTTAAGTGTCTGCCTTCAGCCCAGGTCTTGATATCGGGGTCCTGGGATTCAGCCCGTTGGCCTCCCTGCTCTGCCGGGAGTCTGCTTCTCCCTCTCCCTCTGCCTCTCCCCCTACTCCCGTGCTCATGCTCTCTCTCTCTCTCTCTGAAATAAATAAACAAAATCTTTAAAAAAAAAGGATCAATGGTTATTAAATAAATCTGAGGATGGGGAAGTCTGATGAGGAAGGGGGTATTTACATTGTCTTAAAGTGTCTCCCTGTCAATTGCTTATTAATTAAAGGAGAAAAATAGTAACTATACAGTAGAAAAATCCAACAAAACTTTGGGTAGCCAAAATTATCATCAATCATGGGCAGGTAGACATCTTGTGCCTCCAGGTGCAATACCTTGAAAAGGACACACTAATTTTTATATGGTATTCTGGCCACCAGGCAAAACCTGAATGTAATAGGGAAGAAAGAGCAGACCAAGCCAAATTAAGAAACATTCGATAACATAACTGGCCTGTACCCTCAAAAATGTCAATGTAGGGGCCCCTGGGTGGCTCAGTCAGCTAAACATCTGCCTTTGACTCAGGTCATGATCTCAGGGTCTTGGGATCCTGCACTGGGCTCCCTGCTCAGTGGGGAGTCTGCTTCTTCTTCCTCTGCCCCTCCCTGCCCCTCTGCTCATGCTCTCTCTCTCCCTCTCTCTCAAACAAATAGTCTTTTATTTTTTTAAGTCAGTATCATGCAAGACAAAGAAAGGCTGAGAGAGAAACTGTTAAAGGAAAATAAGAGACATGACAAATGCAATACGTGGTCCTGGACTGAATCTGATAAAGAAGGGGAAATACCCCAAAAGAAATTATTGGGACAATTGAAAAACTTGTAATATGGACTATATGCTTTATATCAATGTTAAACTTCTTGAATTTCATCATTGTACTTATTGCGGTTATGTGTGTGAATCTCCCTGTTCTTAGGAAATATACATGGGGCAGCAGCTCTTTCTGCCCATTGGTCCCGTCCCTGTGCTTTAATAAAATCACCTTTCTGCACACACGCACACACAAAAGGAAATATACATGAAAATATGAAGTGGTAAAGGAACATAATGCATATAATTGACTTGCATGTGTTTATAAGATAATGGAATGATAGAACAAAGTGGCAAAATGCTAAAAATCGGTGTATCTGTGGGTAATTGGTGTATCTGTATTACTTTTGCAAGTTCCCTGTAAGTTTTAAATTATTTTATTTATTTATTTATTTATTTATTTATTTATTTATTTTTTTAAGATTTTATTTATTTATTTGACAGAGAGAGACACAGCGAGAGAGGGAACACAAGCAGGAGGTGTGGGAGGGGGAGAAGCAAGCTCCTGCAGAGCAGGGAGCCCGATGCGGGGCTCAATCCCAGGACCCTGGGAACATGACCTGAGCCGAAGGCAGCCGCTTAACCGACTGAGCCACCCAGTCGCCCTTATTTATTTTTTTTAAAGATTTTTTATTTATTTGAGAGAGAGAGAATGAGAGATAGAGAGCACGAGAGGGAAGAGGGTCAGAGGGAGAAGCAGACTCCCTGCTGAGCAGGGAGCCCGATGCGGGACTCGATCCCGGGACCCTGGGATCATGACCTGAGCCGAAGGCCGTCGCTTAACCAACTGAGCCACCCAGGTGCCCAGTTTTAAATTATTTTAAAATGAAAGCTTTAAAAAATCTCCAGGCTAATGACATCAGAGTCTCTGGGAATGGTGCTGAGGCACTGGGATTTTATTTTATTTTATTTTATTTTATTTTATTTTATTTTTAAGTAGGCACCACTCCCAATGTGGGGCTCAAACTCACAACCCTGAGATCAAGAGTCGCATGCTCTACTTACTGAGCCAGTCAGGTACCCCAAACCATTGGGGATTTTAAAAAGCTTTCCAGGCCAGGGTGCCAGATATGGCAAGTAACAGTACAAGATGTGCAGTTAAATTTGAATTTCAGATAAACAACAAGTTAAAAACATTTTTTAAAAGATTTTATTTATGAGAGAGAGAAAGAGAATGACCAGAGGAGGGGCAAGGGAGGGGGAAAAGCAGACTCCACTGAGTGTAGTCTGACAACAGGAGTGGGGGGGCTGGGTCCTAGTACCTCCAGATCATGACTTGAGTCAGATGCTTAACTGACTGAGCCACCCAGGTGCCCCTAAAAACATTTTTTTTTTTTTTTTTTTTTAGTATAAGTATGCCGCATGCAGTATTTTCTGCCTAACTAGCAAGGACTGTCTTAGAATACAACTCATTTTGATATCTGTACTCTGCTGGTCTTTGTAGAATATTAGAGAAATTTCTTGCTTTATCTGTCTTCTGTATACAAAATCGTCTCAATTCTCACTCGTGCAGAGAGAAGGGGACTGAAATAAATATAAGTAGATATTAAATGACCAGAGTTCATGGCGATGAACAGAAATGTCTCATGAATCTAGCACCTTCTGTAATAATAACAATAATGGTCACTATTTTTTAGGGCGGATTATGTATATGGTAGCCAACCTCTAAGGTGGCCCCCAATGATCCCTACCTCCTGGTATTCACAGCCTTGTACAGTCCCTCCCACATCATACCAGGGTTGGTCTATGTGACCAATAGCATAAAGCTGAAGGGATGGTATGTCATTCCTGAATTTCACTTACACTTTCATCTTAGGTGCATGACTTTGCTCTGAGGGAAGAAGTGTGGAGAGGTCCACATGGTGAGGAACTGAAGCCTTCAGCCTACAGTCGTGGAAACAAGGTTGGAAGGTGATCTATAGCCCCAGGCTTCTGAGATTGCAACTCGGCCAACAGCTGACTTCAGCTTCGTGAAGACCCTGAGCTAGAAGCATCCAACTAAGCCACTGGCCAGATTCCCAATCCTCAGAAACTGTGTGAGAGAGTGAATGCTCTGTTGCTTTACACTGCTAAAGTTTGGAGTGATTTGTTACCGAGGGAAAGATCACTAATGTATCAAGATACAATGTAACACAATGTATCTGCTCAGTATACTTGTTTCCCAAACCAATTCTATCTCTCTTTATCTGAGGGGGGGGGCATGAGCATGAATAGGGGGAGGGTAAGAAGGAGAGGGAGAAGTAGAGTCCCCACTGAGCAGGGAACCTGACTCAGGGCTCGATCCCAGGACCCTGAGATCATGACCTGAGCCAAAGGCAGCCACTTAACTGACTGAGCCACCCAGGTGCCCCCCAAATCAATTCTTTGTTGTAGGAACTTTGCACTCCCATTTTACAGAAATGGGAACCGCAGCACAGAAAGAGCAGGTTGCTCTAAATCACCCGCCCCGCTGGTAGCATCAGCGGGTCTGTCTGCACAGCCCTCAGCCCTAACAGGGAATTTCACGAGCCTTCCCCGTACCAGGTAAGGGGCAGAGTCAGCCTGGGTTTGTTTTTTTTTTTTTTTTTAAAGAGAGAGAGAGAGAGAGCACATGAGCATGAGTAGGGGGAGAGGGAAGGGCAAGGGAGAAGCAGACTCCCGGCTGAGCAGGTAGCTGGCTCGCGGGGCTTGGCCCCAGGACCCCAAAATCATGACCTGAGCCTAAGGCAGACGCTTAACCGACTGAGCCACCCAGGTGTCCTAGCCTGGCTTTGTTTTTTCATCTTACCGAATGCTCACCATAGAGTGAGGTGGAGGAGATCATTGTAGAGAATACCCCCCGCCAACACTGGTAGGATGCCTTCAAGTTAACATGACATTATGTCACACTTACCTATGAGGTAGGGAGGACTGATTCTGGTTTTTTTTGGGGGGAAGGGGGAGGCTGTTTGTTTGTTTTTTAAATAGGCTCCATACCCTACGTGGGGCTTGAACTCACCACCTTGAGATCAAGCATCGCATGAGCCAGCCAGATGCCCCCAGATTCTGTTTTCTTATCTCCAATTCAGAGATGGGCAAACTCAAAGCTCAGAGTGGATAAGGGCTTTGCCCAAATCCAAACCTCACCTGGCAGTGGCTGGCGGGAGGAGCTGGGGCTTGAACACCTCCTCCTCCTCCACCCCACAGGCTACTGCCTAGTCTCCTTAAAGAAGGGTGTGGTTGCTGAGGTTGCAGAAGGTCCTCCCCATACCCATTACAGGAAGGGGTGTGTGGTGGGGGGCCTCACTGGGGACCCTGGAAGCTGTCCCCATGCAGGGAAAAGGAAGGGGAAACCCTCTTTTCTCACCCCACCCCTCGTTCCCCTAGGAGGTGCTCCCACAGGACAAAGAAAGGGTCAGGAACGCTACTTTCTCTGGGACGCCCGGCCCTTTGGCCTTTCACCCTAAATGCACCACTAGCTCTTGCCCTCTCTGGAAGTGAGAGCCGTGTGGCCACCCCTCCCGGTTCTGACATTGCCCACAGTTCTCTTCCCATGGATTAGGTCGCATTTACTAACTGCTGAGCTCTTTTCTTGACGAACAAAAGTGGACAAAATATGGACTTTGAACACAGCAAGAGGGTTTGGGGTTAGAACTGAGAGGGGACTTCCAAACTGATTCCTTATAGCAGATGGCCAAGTGAGGTTGTAGGTAGTACCTTCCCGGTTTTTAGTGGAGCGTTTTATTTCTTTATTTTAATTGAAGTGTAGTTGACATATTATATTCGTTGGGGGTAAGTCACATCGTGATTTGACAATTATATACGTTGCAAAATGCTCGCCACCATAAATGTAGTTACCATCTGTCACCATACAAAGTTAGTATAATCTTACTGACTAAGTATATTCTTTCTTAAAGATCCCTCTGAACAGTATCTTGGTCTGAGGGGTATTGGGGCTGATGTGGGCAAAAATGTTTGGGACCACGACTGGGTTTGCGACATGACTGGGGAGGAAAGCTGGAGGTGACCCTTCTAGGAATCCAGGATAGACCCGATGACTCAGCAACGTTTGTCCCTCTGTCTCCCCTGCAGGAGAAGAGTATAAATCTGCCACCTGGTGTAGGAGAGCCCAGAGAGGGATGTCTGCCTTCTGAGTCAGCCGGGGAGCTTGAAGACCAAGTGAACCTCCGAAGCAGAGTCCTCCCCCCCCCCCCCTGCTGCAGCCGGCCCTCTGAGTCACCCTTGCCTGGCGGTGAAGCCGCTGGGCCTGGAATGTCTGCGGTGGCCCTCGGGCTGTGGCGGGGGTGGTGAGTCACCGCTGGGAGCTGGCAGTCAGCAAGCCCCACAGGCTCTTCTGCTGCGCCAGTTCTCATCCTGGAGCCCCGGTCAGAAGTCGGGAGGGTCTGGGAAGCAGGACCCCGGGGTTCTCGGGCAACAATACTGCCATCGTCCCTTCCTGGGCTGCCTTCCACGTGTCCTGGACGCCCCTTGTGCACCCCCACTCTCTCCACCTGTCTGGGCCACTGGCCTTTGTATCTAGGCTTCCTCTTGGTTTCCCACCCCCTGGGACCTCTCTGACCCTTCACATCCTGGAAATCCGCCCCAGTGGACTGAGGGTCTACCAGAGCCCCCTCCCTGTCCCCACCCCTGCACACTAGGGCACTTCTCATGGTGCAGACAGGCTGGTGGAGTTGCCAGTGGATTTACTGAACTATTTTGATCAAGTCCAGCAGGCCCTTCCGATCCCTAGAAACTTCAGAAGGCCGTCTTTTCCATTCCCCAGCCTCCTGAGACGCTCTGGGGGTGGGGGCTGTGGGCTCCCCTGAGCATCTGGCATCTTCTCTGATCTCCTCCCCTGACCCTCCCCACATTCCTTCCTCTCCCCGGGCCCAGGCTACATTTTCCCTGGTGTGTCCACCGCAGGGCCTGAGAGCCAAAGATCAGAGGGAAACAGGTTGGGGGGCTGCTGAAAGGTCCACTCCAAGAGGGGGTGGGCTGAGAATTTGAAGCAACAAAACTGGCCTTCAGAGCAGCCTGCCCCCAAAACAAATCCCCAGAGCACCAGACAGGCACTCAGGGACCCATTCCAGAACCTTCTTGACTCTGGTCTGGCATCAGACCTAGGGTTTCCAGGGAATGATGTACACCCTTCTTGGATAACCTTGTGCCTCCAGGCAGGGGTGCCCAGGTCTTGACACAAACACTTCTAAGCCCATTAACTGTTGCTCAACAGGAAGCAGGATCACAAACACCCCCGCATCCCGTTTGGAGGCCAAATCTGAAATGACGTCTAATCACTGCCCGTGGATAGCCAGGAGATGGAATTTGGAGAGCTTGCCCGGAGAGAAGTTTTTCTAGACGGTGAAAAATGGGTGGTGGGCGGGCGAGGTTTCTAGGAAGCAGAGGTGAATTGCCCCCCTGATCCAGCGACCTCTCATCCCACACAAGCACTTAATTTCATGCTGGAGCTGCTTCCTGGCCCCAGAGTTCACCTGGTAAGTGGACTTTATTAGACCCTGGAGCTAATAAGCAGAGCATGAGCTTGGTTGTTGCTGGTTCAGAGTACTCCGGTGAGTGGAGAACGAAGAGCCTGGGAAGGCGGCCTTGGGGGTCAGCCCAAAGTGCAGCTTCCGCCCTGCCCCTTCTAGACTGAGCCCTGAGGACAGAGGCGTGTACTAAGCGCTTGGACAAAGGCAGACGCAGTACTTTGAGGAGTCTCCAGTCTAAGGGACAGACATGGCTCTTAGCCTCCAGAAGCTTACGTAGGATGGGGAACGATAGCCCCCCTGGTTCACACTCCTGATCTCAGAGAGCCCCCAGTCTGATCCGGGAGACAAAGCCCCCATGCTGGAGAGCCCCCAGCCTGAGAGGCACAGCATGACCTCAGGGTCCCCCAGTCCATTGGCACAGACAAGTCCACATTGGGTGTCATAAACCTTTACAGATAGAATTGTAGCTGCCCACCTTCCTTCGAGTTCCCCAGGGGTAAGTACTTCTTCCCCCCGCTCTATCCTGCCCCTATGCAGAAAGGCAGCTTGACTGCAAGTTCTCGGTTCCCAGCTACCCCAGGAAACACCCGTCCTTCATGGTCCCTCAACCCTCTCACTCCCCAGCCCTTTCCCCAGCCGGCTGGGATACCCCCCCCCCCAGATTTCGCAGTGGGGACATCGCCTCAGTGCCAAAGCTGTGGGCCACTGTCCCGAGCTGGGTTTCCAATGACTGTGCCTCACTCTTCGGACCCAGGGGCAGCCCCTTGCCTGTGGGAGCAGTCCTACCCCAGCTAGGGCCACCCGATCTAAGGCACCCTTTCTAACTGAGGACACCTCTAAAGGAAGTAGGGCTAGAAGAATCCGGGGCCCCATGCTCAGAAGGGAGGAGGGGGGGAGAAGAAAGGGGACACTTAAAGTGGCCTACCCCCCGGGCAACTGGAGATACCCAAATGTTAATCATCGATTAGCACAGTTCAGGTGGAAAGGGCAACTTTATTACGCGTAAAATGGACTTAACGTGGCGGGAGCTGTGGACCTAATTTCTTGAGATAAGGTGCTTTTAGGCTAATCAGCAGGCCTGTGATGCCTGGATATAAAGGAGCTACAGCAGACTTTCTTGAGACAGGCTCCAAAGGACCAGAAGGTAGGAGGAAGAAACCCCTGCCCTGTCCTTCTGGAAGAGCCGGAAAGGAAGCCGGGTAAGGGAGAGGCTGGGACAGAGGACGGCTGGAGGGGATACTGGAGAGCCAATCTGCGTGAGAAATAAGAAGGCAGCTCTCAGCATTCCTGTAACACCCGGGTGACAAAGGCAGGAGGACAAACGAGGTCTGGGCCCATTTCATCACCCCAGGGGGTCTTCAGTAGGGGTGAAGAGCAGTAAGGAACCCTCCTCCCAAGCCCTGAACACCAAAGCTAGACCTAGACATGTTTGGGCTGCCGGACCTCGTCTTCCCGCAGGGGCACCCTGGAAAGAGCCTCCCTGAGTAGAGAGAGTGAGGCCCGAGAAGGAGAGGATGGAATGGTCTTACTTGTGGCTTTCACTTGGGGCAAGAGGACTGTGATGGTTTAGGTGACCTCCAGTCCGACAGCTGGAAGGCGGGCTGCTATGGACCCTGGAGGCTCTAAGGGGAGACTCGCCAAACCACATGCCGGTGAGGTCCAGCCACCGGAGCCGGGAAGGGGGCTGGCAGGCCCACGGGTCTTGGCTGCTTTCTTCTGCCTGGGCCCTTCCCCCCACTGCCCTCGTCCAGAGCTCAGGGCCCCCAGCTTGCAGAACCCACACATGCTCTGAGGCGTCAGCGGGACACGGCCGGCCATGCTGACTATCCATGAGAACGGGGCTTCCCTCAGCCCGGTCCCTTTTCTCTCTTTGCTCAGGAAATCACCCTTGGAAGATGGTGGCCGGGAAGATCTTCGGTCTCCTGCTGGCGTCCCTGCTCCTGGCAGTGGTGCTAGGAGAGAAGGCGGAGGGTCACTCCAGGTAGGGCTGCAGGAGAGGGGTCGGGCACAAGGGAGGATGACCTGGTTCTGGTTCTCCAGGGGAGAGGTGGGAAAGGGAGGGGTCCCAGGCCAAGGGGAAAGAAGGCGGAGGGGAAAACCGGCCAGCGCCTGTGTGCAGAGTGAGGGCCGAACCCGAGAGCATTTATTATGAGCTACTGTTGCCACAGGAGAGACTGTGGTTAGATCTCTGGAAGGACTTCTCAGTGGCTAAGTGTCTGAAGTAGATGACAGTATCTCCCTTCCTAAGGAAAGCCTTAACCATTCATTCCTGTGTGCATTCGATCAAATTGTGGAGAGGGCCCCCTGCGCGCCAGCCACAGGAGATACATTAGTGCTGAGTGGTCCACATGTTCCTCGTGGAACACATGGGCCCAGGGGAAAACAAAGAACCACCTAGGCGAGTTGCAAACTGTCCTGAGCACTTTGGATTTGGGGGGAGCGAGCAGAGTGTCATGAACACATGGAGCAGGGGGCTCTGTGCTCTGGAGGGCCGAGAGAGACTTGTCTGAGTAAAGATCTGCCCTGTTGGATGCAGGAACCAGCCATGTGGTCCATCCCTTGCATCCTGTAGATGGGAGGCACGGCCGTCAGACGGGTACGAAGAAGGGCAACATCTTGTAGAGGTTGCGAACTTAGACCTGGGCCCGGACCGCCTGAGGTTAAATCCTGGATCTGCCACCTAAGAGATGTGCTAGATGAATCTCTCTGCCCCTTAGTTTCCTTGATCACAAAAAGGGTGTAGAAATAGTGTCTACTTCCTAGGGGTGACTAGGGTCAAATGAGTCTGTCTGTCTAGTAAAGGGCTTACAGAGAACCTGCCACACAGTGAGGGCCATTATGGAGGAGTTCACTCTTTTTTTTTTAATAATTTTTTATTGTTATGTTAATCACCATACATTACATCATTAGTTTTTGATGTAGTGTTCCATGATTCATTGTTTGTGCATAACACCCAGTGCTCCATGCAGAACGTGCCCTCTTTAATACCCATCACCAGGATAACCCATCCCCCCACCCCCCTCCCCTCTAGAACCCTCAGTTTGTTTTTCAGAGTCCATCGTCTCTAATGGTTTGTCTCCAGAGGAGCTCACTCTTGTTCCTATCGACTGGGAACAAAGCCTTGAATCGGGGTGGGCCAGGCAAGAGAAGCAAAGGAGGGAACTGAGATCAGTCCTTCGGGATGAGGGGGACCCCTGATCCCTCTTTGCCCTGAAGCCAGAGTCACACTCACCAAGGATGCAGGAAGAGGGTTCTAGAGCTGAGGATAAAGTCCCAGGGCCTTGATGGATAGACAAGAGGGGTCTGCATAAAAACGGACTCCCAAGAAACAGGGGCGTTTTTCTCTGACACTGGCCTCCTGTCGGTGACAATCATTTGCCCCTGCACTGTGATTCCCCTCACCCTCTGCCCCTCCTGCATTGTCCTGGCTTCTCTCTCTCTCTCCTCTCCCTGCCCCTCAGAGGCCACGCTAAGGTCAGTGGCTCCCGACCTCGAGGCCCCAGGTATGCTGAGGGGACCTTCATCAGTGACTACAGTATCGCCATGGACAAGGTCCGCCAACAAGACTTTGTGAACTGGCTGCTGGCGCAGAAGGGGAAGAAGAACAAGTGAGTTGAAGCACACGCTCCCTCCTGAGCCCGGGGCTGGCTGTACCTCCGTGCACACTGGAGGCGACGCAGGCCACGCGGGCCGGCGCCTCCCAGCCCCACATGGTGCCTTTCACTGAGGCACTGATGGTGAGCTGGGCGACACGGTGGCCCTGATTGGGGCTCAGGCAACTGCTCGGTGGGGGGGGGGGGCAAGGCAATTTTCCACTCCTTTTCTTCTAAGGAGAGGGATCAGGGAAGAGGTAGGGGCTCCCAGAGGAGCCCCACGGGGCTGGAGACGAAGGCAGAGGGAACTGAGATGCTGCTGGCAGTGGTGGCCACTGCGGACTTGGTCCTTCTTCCTTCTCTCGGCCAAGTCTCTTACCTCGCGCTGGCTGCTCGGTCGGCATGGTGGTAGATGCTGAAAGGGCGGACAGTGGCAGCTGAGGACAAGCAGTGGGGCTGTTGAATGGAGAAAGAGGTTCGCTCTGCAGCTTGGGTTAAGGTCCCGAAAGATCAGAGCCTTTGGACTGGAGAACATCTGGAACCTCCCCAGTCCCACCTACTCCCGCGTCTTTACCTTACCAGCTGGAAACACAACATCACCCAGAGGGAGGCCGCTGGGGCCCTGGAGCTGGCCCATCAATCTAACAGGAAGGAGGAGGCGAGGGAGCAGCAGGGGTGAGTCAGCCCACAAGGGAAGGGGTGGGGGCAGGGCCTCATTGTTCCCTCTCCCAGACCCCAGAGCAGGGCAAGGCCCCAGATAAGCATCCCCCTCCACTCCCAGTTCAGAGAGGGGTCTTTGAGAAACTCCTGGAGGCCAGCCCAGGCTGAAGGGAGAAGCCGAGGAGGAACAGGGGCTGGGGTCCTAGGAGGGGTTTGGGACCAGAGTCCCTAAGATTGATGACTTTAGCGTGAAGAATCACAGAGTCAAGGAGAGGGGCAGCGAAAGAGACGTCAGGGAGACCTCAGGAACTGGCTTCCCCACTTCTCCCCGACAGACCTCAGGAAGGATGTTTGAGGAACAGGGACCCTTTGAAGGCCAGTCCCTTGGCATCAGTTACCCCCTATCTGAGGAAGCTGAGGAATCTGTGGACCATTCTAAAGAGTGAATGTCCGCAAAGTAATCTCCTGGGTTTGGGGGGATGCATTCGGGGATGCTCGCAGAGGTGGACGGGTGGGGGTTCTCCCACCTGAATTCTGTTCCGCGTTGCCTGTGCTGAAGAGCCCCTGTTCCCCTGGCCCATAGATCGGGGTGGAGCTCTGCAAGCTGAGATAAGGAGAGGCAGCTGTGTTGACTCCCTCCCCCCAACCCAGCTGCCCTGTGGAGTCCCAGGCCCTGTATTTACTCACTCCGGGTGGGGCCCAGGCTCAAACAGCCGGCCTGAGGCTTTCTCCTTGGCAGCTCTCTACCCAGGAAGGCCAGTGATGAAGATTTGCTCAAGGATTTACTGATTCGAGAGCTGCTGGCCTGGATGGTGGATCAGATGGAAGTCAGCAGGCTCAGGTGGGGCTGTCTGGTGGCTTTGGGTGTCTTGCGTAGTGCTTACAAGCTTGAGCTTTGGGGCTGGACATGGGTTCGGATCGGCACCCCAGCACGTGCTAGCAAACTAATAAGCCTCTCTGAACCTCAGTGTTGTCATGAAAACAAGGCTTATTCAGACCACTTCGTGGGATTGTTGTCAGGTTTAAATAAGATAATCCGAGGAAAGAGCTGAGAGCAACCCGGGAGGAGTGAGTTCAGTAATGTCGGCCGTTGTCATTACTGCTTGCACTTGGGTCTCCTCAGCCGGGTGGGAGGCTGCACTCACCTCCCTTGCCCACCTGAGCTAAGCTGCCCATCTTGGTCTCAGCTCTCCCTCTGTACCCTTGTCCCATGGCCCCTGGAGCTGGAGGTATGTTGCCCGTCTATAGCCATCATTGGTCTCATTGGTCCTGGAATCCATCTCACCAGCCAGGAAGCCCTTTAATCTATTATGTCCCAGAAACAAGGGATGGCTAAATACCACGAAGGGGTCCATCTACCTAAAGGGGGAAACAGAACACTCATTCAAGATGCAGACACCAAGGCTTGGAAACCAAAACACATTTTCAGACTTTGCTGCAGGCGAGCTAGGGAGGGATGGAGGGAGCAGATCTGGGACGGCTTCCTGCAGAGAGTGGGAAGGGAAAGAGGAACGTGGCCAGAACCATGGAGGAGAGTATGAGAAATTCTCCATAGACAGGTGGGTGCTTTTCAGAATTATTTTGCTTACTTATAATTAAAAAGGTAATTGGGAGGTAGGAGCAGCTGAACCATGGCTGGGCGCCAGGATGAGTTTACTTTGCTGATTCCAAGTAGATAATGACTCTCCTCTCCAACCACTTCCCCTCCTCTTTCCACTCTCCCCAGATTTCAGTGACTCAGACCAAACCCAGCTGGGGCCTGGACTCTGCCCTTCGCTCACTCAGGACTCAGCTCCATTCCAGGGTACCTAAGAGAAGCCAAACCAATCAAGTTTAAGCTGAAATAAATCCTTGTGCCCATTGTCAAAACTTGCTCAAATGTCTATTTGAGCACTGTTAATGTACGTGTGTCTGTGTGTTTGCATGCCACCCAACGAAAACGAGATATGGCTCCTACCTGCATCTGTAATTCATCTATTTACAAACACTTATTGGAAAGTTAACATGGGCAGGGGCTGTGCTAACTACTGGGAATACGGCGGTCAAGGAAATGGGCACAGTCCCTCTCCCCGAGGAATTCATAGTCCCATGATAGAGACAGACCTTAACTTAAACACACACACACACACACACACACACACACACACACACACACACATACACATTAATAATCATGTAACATGCTGGGGCGCCTGGATGGCTCAGTCCGTTAAGCCTCCAAATCTTGATTTCCGCTCAGGTCAAGGTCTCAGGGTCATGAGATCAAGCCCTGCCTCTGGCTCTGCATTGGGCATGGAGCCTGCTTAAGATTCTCTCCCTCTCCCTCTGCTTCCCCCCCCCCACAAAAGAAGAATCACATCACATGCTAAGCCATGTGAAGAAAGCCTAGAGAGCTAGGAGAACAGAGCAGCCTCATCGAGATGGAGTGGGGGGGTCTCAGGGCCTCTTGGAGAAAGTGCCATCCAAGCTGAGTGAGATGGCGAGGACAAGACAGCCAAGGGACCGGGGGGCCTCCATGAGTATTACCTCGGTGCTATTCTTACAAAGGAAGCAGGCAATGGGGAGATCAGAACAAACAGAGGCTGGACAGGTGGGCAGAGAAAGGATCTTAAAGGCCGTGTTAAAACTTTTCGGATTTTATCCTCAGAACAGGGGCAGGTTTGAAGAGCTATTTCGTTCCCAAACCATCATGAGTGAGGGTTATATCCCGAGATGAACAGGGATGACAATGGAAAAGGAAGACCAGTTAAGAGAATCCTCCTGCAGGATTCCAGGCTTACCCTAGGGTGGTGGGAGTGGGAGTGAAGGGAAAGGGGCCAACTCAGTTTGTCCAAAAGTCAACACCTTTATCTTCCAGTGTTCAAAGCTCTCCCTCTCCCCTCAGTCCACTGCCTTCTCCCAATGCCTGGTATCCATAGAAGGCAATGTCTCCTCCCCCTTCATGTGGGCTACCTTGCCTAGAATGTCCTCTCTCCCCTTGATCTGGTCATACTTTAGTTGACACGAGTCAAACACACCTCGATTCAAAGACTCAAATCACTTACTAGGTCTGTGACTTGGCAAGTTAGTTCCTCTCTCTGAGTGGGTTTCCTGTCTGTGAAAAGATTTGGAAGTACCTGACTCATAGGGTTGAAGGAAGTATTAATTAAGATAGTGCCTGGCACAAAGTAAATGGTCAATAAAAGTTAACTTTGCTTATCATTTACCCACCTAAACCTCAATTTAAAAATACAAGGGTATTCGTGTTCAATCGGGGAGTGGCAAGCTGGATTGGCTGAAGGGCTGGGCCAGTGGCATAACTGAGCAGAGTGGGGAGGGTATAAGACAATGGGAAGGATCGGGGACTGTGAAAATGGAAGAGACATGCTTTCTGCTGACCGAACAAAACACTTTTGAGAACTGAATTTGCCCGAAGGCTGCCCGTGTGCAATCTCTTCCAGCTCTGACATTTTAGGTTTCCTCTCCTCTAAACTCCTTGCGTTTGGAGAGTGTGTACCACACAATTTAGACCATGCCTTTGCTCAGAAGATAGAGTTTGGCGATTCTCTATGGTGGGACCAGTTGTCTCAGGGATAGTTGGCTCTCTATTTCTGGAGTCTTGGGTGTCTCTGGGGGTGAGCGAATCAGAAAGGGTTATTTAGAATAAATTTGTACAATGTTCTTATTACGGGCCAGGCATTATGCTCAGCTCTTTATAAAGCTCATCTAAAACCTCATCACAGCATTTTAACATACTAGCTGTTAACCACGCACTACACTGCCTCCATGAGGTAGAGAATTAAAGTCCTATGCTCTTAGCCACCCTGTGCCTAAGGCCAGTGAGTCACTTAAAGCAAGTGACAGCATGTGTGATGGTCTGCATTCAGGGTATCCTGGAGCTGAGCGCTTCTGAGAGCCATTGTGAAATTGTCAGGAATTTTGTGAGAAGGTCATAAAATCATTGTTAGCTTGAAATTGGCCATGGCCAGAGTACACCATGGAAACTGACAAATGCTATAAATCAGAGCTCCTCCTTCCCAGCCCAGAGAGGGGGTTGTTAAACATTTACCAGCTCATTACTGGTCAACATACTTTCTCTAAAATTATGAAAGAGAACAAATGTGTCTGAATAAGGGAATGAGCGTGTCTGCTTGAGTGTGGTAACCAGGTGTGTCTCCGGCCAATGTTTGCACCTATAAGAGTGAGTGTGTGTGCATTTGAGGGTATGAATAAATTTGAAGCCATGAGTGTGAGGGATCAGTGCATGTGAGTCAAAGAGTGAGAAATGAGGCAGGTGTGTCTATGTGTGTCAGTCAGGAAAAGACCAGATTTTTGTGTTAGGGAGTGGTGTAGTAAGAATATGAGAATAGGAAGTAAATGTGTATATAAGGGGCCACTTGTTGTTTTGCAGAAAGGCGTGGGTAGGTATATTGAAGGTCAGTGTTTTAGGAGAGGGTGTCTGAAAAGGCTAGTATGAGTTGGAGGAGCAAATTTGTGTCTGGGGAAGTTTGTTTCTAAGGGGACTTAGACTATCTGAACTCAGTGTCTAAGGGTGTATCTGAGGGTGAATCTGAAATAAGACTACAAAAAGAGGAATGATTATTTTAGCCTTGGTCCTTGCATCCGCTAACATTAGATTCTGCTTCAAATAACAGAAAAACACCTGTGTTTTGGTAAGCCAACAGTGGCTTTGGTAAGACAACATTATTTCTTTCTTATAAGCATCCAGAGGCAGGTAGCTCAAGGCTGGTGTACAGCTCTGCTCCATGAAATCCTCAGGTCAGGGACCTGGATCATGGCTCGATAATCCCTCAAGGTCCAAAATGGTGGCTAAATATCCCTGTCACCAATCTCTGATCATATCTTCTTCTAATCCTTTTACTTGAAACCTCTGGTAACATTATTCACATTCGTGCTTTCACCTTGCTGACGATTCTGGATCTGTAGCTCTGCCCAGCTCTTTATGTAGATCGTTATACTAATACATCCAAATGACCGGTGGTCATCTCTCTTGTGATGTCACAGAGACCTCAATTTCAACATGTTCAAAATCACTGTTAATTATTTCCCCAGCTTCATCTTGTGGTCTCAGTCCCTGTTCCCCCACCCCCTTCTCCAAATGGCACAGCCCTGTTTCCCAAGACAGAAAACCAAGCACTTTTTCCTACCCACTCTGTCTCCATCTTACCAGTTTTACCATTCTGCACTCCAAGTATCTTCTGCAACTGTTAATTTCTCTCTACCTCATGGCCACTATCTTAGTTCTAGCTTGCATCATTTCTAGGTTGCTTTGCTATGACTGACTTAAGTCTAGGTTGTCACTTTTTTTTTTTTAAGATTTTATTTATTTGACAAAGAGAGAGGGGGAGAGAGAGAGCGAGAGAGCACAAGTAGGGGGAGCAGCGGAGGGAGAGGGAGAGGGAGAGGGAGAAGCACCCGCCCTGCTGAGCAGGGAGCCCTAATCCTGGCTCCATCCCAGGACGCTGAGATCATGATCTGAGCTGAGAGCAGACGCTTAACGGAATGTGCCATCCAGGCTCCCCATTTGTCACTAACTTTTCTAAAACAAGAATTTGATCTAACAAGTAACAACTTCCTGACTTAAGAATCCTTCATCAGCTCCTTTGTTAGGCTCAATGCTATAGAAAGCACCTATGGAGCTTTCTAAACACACAGATGGCTGATCCCACTCCAAATCTGATGAGTAACAATCATAGCTGACGTTTACTTCTATGTCAGGCACTGCACTAGATGCTACGTTATAGATTTTCTCACTTCATCCCCACAACAACTTCATGAGTAGGTATTACTCTATACCAACTGTGGACACTAGAACACAAGAGATTCAGGATTTTGCCTGAAGTTACTGGACCAGATGCAGTGGAAGTGAGCTATGGAGCCAGGCTATCTAATTCCAAAGTCCAGGTTCTTAAAGTAAGGTCTGGCCTAGTCAGAATCTCAGCGTGTGACTCCAACAGGTAGGCTCCATTAGAGCTGATGGGTTGTGTTTCATGCTCAATTTGGAAGCTTTGCGGCCGACTCAGCGCCTGGCCCAGAGCACGCGGCCGTGAGCACTGGCTGGGAGCCGGAGTTTGGGTGCCGGCGGGCGGCAGCCGCGCTAACACGCGAGGGTCCGAGGCGCCCACGTGGGTGGGGAGCGCGCCGCCGACAACGAGGCCGCGGCTCCGCGTCCGCGCTCGCCCGTCCTCCCGGCCGCAGGGCTTCGCCGAGCTTCTCCACACCCGGCCACCAGAGGAAGGCGGGGCTGCTCTGCCCCGCGGCAGGAAGTCGGCGCGTAGCTTCCGGCGCGCGGAGATGACGCGCGACTGGCGCTTCCGCGTTGGGACCCGGCGGCGGATCCCGGGACGCGGAGACCCGGGGTCCCGGCAGCGGGGCGGCCCCTGGGCCCAGGGCGGGGATGCATCGCCGCGGGGTGGGAGCCGGCGCCATCGCCAAGAAGAAGCTTGCCGAGGTGAGGGGAAGAAGGCCGACCCACAGTCATCCCCGACCCGAGAGAGACCGAAAGTCTCGGAGCAGAGCTCTGTACCCGCAAATCGCGCCCCATCAGAATCTGACACGGGCTCCTCGGGTCCCGGGGAACGGAGTTTCTTCAGCTTCCGGTGGATTGGGATGTCAGCATCCCCAGATCCACCCGCCCTTTCCCCCGCGTCCCCAAATATGACTGCAGACGAGCCGTCTGTTTTACTTCCTCATCCCTCTCCCTAAGAAAAACCATTTAAGAGAGATCCTCCTCTTTTCATACTTCGTCCGAGGCAGTACAAGTGGGAGCCCCCAGCGCCCACCCTCAACTCACGCTGGTCTCTTTGTCTGACAGGCCAAGTATAAGGAGCGAGGCACTGTCTTGGCTGAGGACCAGCTGGCCCAGGTGAGTCGGTTGGAGGGCTCCAGGCAGGAAGGGAGACACGACGAGGCTGGACAGGACACCTTTGATGTAAAGTAGATTGTTTGGATTGAACTAAAAATAGGGTATTTGGCACATCTCGATTTCTGGGCTGCCCAGATCTTTTATGGGGACTTGCTAATAACAGTGATAGCTAACATCTTTTGAGTCATTCCATGCTTATATCGTACTAGGCACGTGTCCATTTTCTTTACATGCACTATCTTGTTCATCTTGACGATCCTACCAGGAGGGAACTCTATTCTTCCCAGTTTAGAAGTGAGGACATTCAGGTGGTTTATCCAAGATTACGTGGGTAGTAGGTGGTAGAGCGGTTTGATTTACGTCTTTGGGGGCTTTCACTTGAAGTGCCTAAGAATAAGATGAAAATACTGCTTAACCTGTGTGGCCCATCACCACCACCGGTACATCCAGGTGTGTACCAGAAGTGTGTGTCAGTGATGGGATGCCGGGCCTGCGGTTTCCTTTTCTGTACGTGCCCTGAGTTTACGCAGTTACTGGGACTGGTAAAGAAGAGGAGGAAACAAGCAAGGAAATGGAGCCTTGTACTGAGGAAAGATAGTAGACACAGGCAGTGCTCTTCAAAAGCTCCCACTCAGGGGTGTCTGAGTCTTGGTTTCGGCTCAGGTCGTGATCTCATGGTGGTGGGATTGAGCCCGGTGTTGGGCTTCTCGATCAGCGGGGAGTGTGCTTGAGATTCTCTCTGTGCCCTTCCTGCTTGTGCTCTCTCTCTCTCTCCCCACTCCTCTCTAAAATAAATAAATATTGGGGCGCCTGGGTGGCTCAGTCGTTAAGCATCTGCCTTCGGGTCAGGTCATGGTCCCGGGGTCCTGGGATCGAGCCCCACATCGGGCTCCCTGCTCCTCGGGAAGCCTGCTTCTCCCTCTCCCACTCCCCCTGCTTGTGTTCCCTCTCTCGCTGTGTCTCTCTCTGTCAAAGAAATAAAATCTTAAAAAAATATATATTTATTTATTTAAAAAAAATCTCCCACTCGTAGGGGAGGTGACATACAGGAATCATCTGGAAATGGTGATTATAATGTTTAAGTTTATAATATGTAGCAGAAGAGGAGATGTTGGGCCAGGAGTGGTTACTCTTGGTGGGTGGAACATAGGCTTTGTTAATTAGGGAAGGAGAAGGAATACTACAAGTAAGTCAGAAAATCCCCAAACTATTTGTATTTAGCTTTGGAATATAATCTGGTAGATCCACCCCTACCTTTGGGATTCTTTATTTGGAGTTAATTCCCAAGAAGGTCCATGACTGAAAGATTCAACAGTCACTGCGCACCTAATTCATACCAGGCTTCCTTTTTCTCCTATGTAACCTTTCTGTCAGTGGCTGAAGATTTCTTTTTTTCTGAATGCTGCATTTTCTCATTTTTTTTAAGACCAAATGGATTCTGGGGTGCACCTTCAATCTAGTAACAGTTTCTCTGGGGGAAAAAAAAAGTATCACATTAGATATGCATGCTGATTGTTAGATGCATCCTGACTTTAGAACAGGAACATGTGAGGGAAAAAAAAATGTGTGCTTTATTTTTTATTATCTTTAAAAGATTTTATTTATGTTTTAAAGATTTATTTATTTTAGAGAGAGAGAGGGTGCAGGTGGGAAAGGGTAGAGAGAGAGGGAGAGAGAGTCTTAAGTGGACTCCAAGGTGAGTGCAGAGCCTGAGGTGGGGCTCAATCTCACAAGCCCGAGAGCATGACCTGAGCTGAAACCAAGAGGACGCTTAACCTACTGAGCCACTCAAGTGCCCCCAAAGATTTTTATTTATTTATTTATTTGTTTGTTTATTTTAAAGATTCTATTTATTTTTTGACAGAGAGAGACACAGTGAGAGAGGGAACACAAGCAGGGGGAGTGGGAGAGGGAGAAGCAGGCTTCCCGCCGAGCAGGGAGCCCGACGTAGGGCTCAATCCCAGGACCCTGGGACCGTGACCTGAGCCGAAGGCAGATGCTTAACGACTGAGCCACCCACGCGCCCCCAGAGATTTTATTTTTAAGTAATCTCTATACCCAACATGGGGCTCAAACTCAAAACCCTGAGATCAAGAGTTGCATGCTCTACCACCGACTGAACAAGCCAAGTGCCCCCAAAAATGTGTGTGGTTTTTTTTTTTTTTAAGATTTTATTTATTTATTTGAGAGAGAGAGAGCACAAGAGGGAAGAGGGTCAGAGGGAGAAGCAGACCCCCCGCTGAGCAGGGAGCCCGACGCGGGACTCGATCCCGGGACTCCAGGATCATGACCTGAGCCGAAGGCAGTCACTTAACCAACTGAGCCACCCAGGCGCCCCCCAAAATGTGTGTTTTAGAATTGAGGAAACATTATGGCATCCCAACCCAGCTGACAACAGAACCATGAAGAACAGTTAGGGATAAAAAGAGAGGGAACAATAGGGTGCCCGGGTGGTTCAGTTGTTTGGGTGTCCGACTCTTGGTTTTGGCTCAGGTTGTGATCTCATCACGCCCCCAGTCGGGTTTGGTGCTCAGCGGAGGGTCTTCTTGAAGATCTCTCCCTCTGCCCCTCCCCCCACTCGTGCATGTGCGTTCTCTCTTTCTCTCTAATAGATAAATAAATCTTAAAAAACAAAAAAAAAAACCCAAAAAAAACCTAAACTAAAGGGAACAAGAAAGAGCATCATGGTAGGCCTGGAGGAGATAGGTTATTTCAGCCCTTGCCCTGCCACTGGGCCAGGAACTTAATTTTTGGCATCGGATTATCACTTGGCCGGGCTGCCCCTAATCTCCCCCTGGTCCACCTTACAGATGTCGAAGCAGTTGGACATGTTCAAGAGCAACCTGGAGGAATTTGCCAGCAAGCACAAGCAGGAGATCCGGAAGAATCCCGAGTTCCGGGTGCAGTTCCAGGACATGTGTGCCACCATTGGGGTGGACCCTCTGGCCTGTAAGGAGCTGTCCGCAGGGCTGTGGTGTTCTCGTAGGGCTCCAGAGGGGCGGAAGCTCATCTGGCCGTCATCACTGTGGCTAGGGCCCCTTCCAGAAGGCCCTTCTAGAAGGGCCTGCAGGGAGAGCCAGTGGCTGTTGTTGCCAGGGAGTGCCCAGCAGGATGGCTGAGTGCGCCCGGGGATGGGGAAGCTGGAGACACAGGCCTTGGGCTAGTAGCCAGGGTGGGTACGGGCCTTCCCGTGAGGGACCTCCAGTGGAGTTTCTGAACGGATATTTCTCCCTTTATTAAAAAGATAATTTAGTTTTAATGAAAGTAGCATGTAATCATGGAGTCAGTCAATAAAGGAGGAAAAAGAGAAAGTACAAATCTCCTGACCCTGTCCCATAGTGGCAGACATAAATATTAACAGTCTAAGATAGCTTTCTGGACACCTTCATCCTATTTATAAACTTTTTTTTTTTTTAACATATCGGATTATGCTATAATTACTACTCTGTAACCTGCATTTTTTTTACCCAGGCAGCTGTTGTCTTCAGTTGATTTTTGAATGCCCGGTCTGCATATTGTTTCTCTCAGCCTTGTCTAGATCCTGTGTCCCATTATATTTCACTGTATAATTTGGGAAAGGAAGGCTCATTTTTATAGTGTCCTGAGCCAGAATTCGCCAAATAGAAATGCCTTTTAGATTGCCCACCTGTCCGAGCCTGGTTTTTAGGAGGAATTTCCAAGACTTCAACTGTCTTGAGGATCCTGAGTAGTAAATGGAGCCCCAGGACTTAGGCTAGGCAGGGAAGGCTTCCCACAGGATAGATGTTTTATTTAGCTTTGAAAGAAAAGAAAGGATAGAAAATAACCTATAACCTGCTTTTGTTTTTCTGTCTTTCAGCTGGAAAAGGCTTTTGGTCTGAGATGCTAGGTGTGGGGGATTTCTATTATGAGCTGGGTGTCCAGATTATCGAAGTGTGCCTGGCCCTGAAGCACCGGAATGGAGGTGAGGCTGGCTAAGTCCTGCACACTGGGCTTTGGACTTCTCAGAGGGAGAAAACCTTGAAAGGTGATCTTTTCCGTCCTGCAGTCTGCGGGCCAATAAGATCTTGAGAACCTGTTAGGTCTTCAGAAACATCTTAGTGGCTTCATGTGGTTGAAAAATGGAATTACCTGAATGATTGTCTCTGTTCCCTAGAGATCTTCGCCCAGGAAGGTCTTAGCCCCTGGTTATTACAGAAAATAATAGGGAGGTAGGAAATAGGCCTTTTCCCCTGATATACAACACGTCCAGGTTATGATTTTATCATTAGTAACTATGTATCCTGGCGCTCCAAGGTGGGGTGGTGCCACGTTTCTAGGCTCCCCAAAACGTGACCTAAAAATGGTCATCCAGTGGTGTCATCTTAATAAAGCACTTCGAATGGTCTGTGTTGAAGTTAGAAAGAAAACTTAAAACCAGTTATAAATCACTGGTCGTAGATAGATATGGCCTTGATGTTAAGAGCACCTTTATAGTTTTTCAGAGATGATGCTGCCCGTTTTTTATATTTTTGTTTTGGGTTGGTTTGGCTTAGCCATGAAGGTAATCCTCCGTCTGCTTTCCTCCCCGCCCCCCCAGGTCTGATAACTCTGGAGGAACTGCATCAACAGGTGTTAAGAGGAAGGGGCAAGTTCGCGCAGGACGTCAGCCAGTAGGTCTTGCCTTCCAACCCCTTGGAAGGAGTACAGAAAGGTCTTTAAACATCAGATGGAAATCTTTTCTCTTTACTGCTCGCATGTCTAGGCTACTTTCGGGATCATTTTCGTTTCTCTTTATGATCAGAAAACATGTTTTTTAGAAAACTGAAAATACAGAGATATAAAGAACCAGAAGCCACCCGTTAATTTCTCAGCTGAGAGATTACAACTGTTGACATTTTGGCGTATTTTCTTCTAAGCATTTTTTTTTTCATGTGTACGCATGTATTGTTACTATTTTTTTTTTTTAAACATACTTGGGGCTTAATCTTCAGATTATTTGAGGTCAAGGAGATTAGCGCAGGCACTGAGAAAGGCTGGGGAACAGGGTAGGGGGCCAGAAGATGGGGTACAAATTGATCTGGTTCACCAGCCTCTTTGTGTGACTTCAATTTGAGAAAAGGTTAAAAACAAAGGCTGTCAGTATGTGGGCTGGGTATAGGGTCTACACACTGTCTTGTGGGTTTTCTTTTTCCCTAATTCGAGATAGTTGTTAACCGGAAACCAGATAATCCGGCAGGACTGGGCCTGAATTTCCAAATGGCAATAATCAGCTGGGTTGCCCTCTGTAACATGGATAAGCATTTTCTGTTTTGCCATAGTTCACACTGCTCCCTGTCTCTTGCATTTAAGCTCATTCATTCACATTCCCTGACAGGCTCCCGTGAGCAGACTTTTGACCTCTGTCCGGGGTCAGAAAGGTTTGCTGAGCGGAGAGCCCCGTACCTGTACCCTCTGCCGTGAGCGTCCCAGCACCATCTGGTGCCCCTTGGCCCTACCTTTTTACTGATGTCACCGACTGGTGTGCAGCCTTTTGAGTCCTCTGTCAGGGTGTCCTGGCCCGGGGCAGAGCTGAGATACTGCGTCGTGGCTGGGTCTGGTGTGCCAGAGGTCTGTAAGCAGCTCTCCCTCACCGCAGAGACGACCTGATCAGGGCCATCAAGAAACTGAAGGCGCTGGGCACGGGCTTCGGCATCATCCCTGTGGGCGGCACCTACCTCATTCAGTCTGTTCCGGCTGAGCTCAACATGGATCACACGGTGGTGCTGCAGCTGGCCGAGGTACTGGTCTGCCTGCTGGGGGCAGGGGGGACAGTCGGAGTGACTCCAGTCTTTCGCTGAGACTGTCCAGCGGATGCACGACTCAGACCTGTGCTTGTTTAGAAGCCGTTTATTGAGCAGCTACAGCACGAAGCAGCGCCCGGGCTGTGGGGGTGGAATGACGGGCACTGTACAGCCCCTGCTCTCGGGGAGCTTACAGTCTAGAGGGGCAGACGGACATGCACACAGCGAACCGCATTTTCTTGGGTAGACAGATTCTTTGAGGTCTTCGGAATACTACTTTCTGTATGGGCTCTTCAATACAAAGGTTCCCTCCTGTTTGCCATTCCCATTACTCAGCATGCCTTAAGCATATCCCCTCTTCCCCCAAGTCCATATCCTGGGTGTAGGGAAGACATGTTCAGTTTTCTTAATTCGATAACGTAGAACAAAACTAAATAAGGAGGGGCTTTTCTCATTGGGGGCTGAGTAAGGTGAGGCAGGGAACTGCCACCATTTCTTCCTGTCAGTTAATTATTCTGAATCTTGTCATATTCTGAAGTTCTCTGAGAAGGTCTAACTTAATATTTTAGTACCAGGGACCCCACTTTTTAAGACTGAACCCGCCCTCCCCCCCCACTTCTGTCACCCTAAAGTCGCTTCTCTGTCTTTGCTGGGACTTCTAAACATTCTTTTTCTATGCTTTTACGCTTGAAGCGTAAAAGCATAGAAAAGTTCTTCCTCCTGTCTGGGGTCAGTCCGTTGTTGCCGGGCAGGTGCTGGGTTCTCAGGGAAAGTCCACTGTTAACTGACCCCCCCCGCTTCCTCCTTCCTTCAGAAAAATGGCTACGTGACCGTCAGTGATATCAAAGCCAGCCTTAAATGGGAGACCGAGCGAGCGCGGCAAGTGCTGGTATGTGAATTTTGGAATGGCCCAGAAGAGATGGCCCCAAGATGGTTGGAGGTGGGTGGGTAGATAGCACTCCGGCAGAAACTTCAGCCTTGCTCTGCTGGCCACTTGCCTTGAAGGCTGCTGTCACCACAGAGAAGCAAGCCCCGCATTCCCCTGAAGGTGCCACTGAGGTCCCAACTCAGAGGCAGGCTTCTAACTCTGCTGTAGGCAAGTCACCAAAACCCCTTCTCTCCCCCGACCTGTGGAGCCTGGTCAGACAGTTCCTACAGTTTGTATCGGAAGTAACACTGTTAACCCAGAGTGAAGGGAACTGTTACCTGCTTAATTACATATCCATAATTATAAGCTATTATACTGTATATGAGATAGCGTTTTATATATACAGATGTCATGGTACGAAGGAAAGGTTGATGTGAAGAAGGAGTAGCAGGAGAATGTAACCCTGGCTTTCAATACCTTCTTCCTTATCCGGGCAATTAAACTATACACTTAGGTGTATAGCAGGGTCACGTAAACGTCTCTTTAATGCTACTGGGCACAAGCAGCCCATCGTGAGCATGTTTCCAGCTGCAGGAATTGCGAGTCCCTTCTAGACTAATAGAGTCCTTCCGGTAATTTCTCCATAAAGGTTCACCCACAAGTTAACGGGAAACCTAATGACAACAGTGGTCTCCGTTTTGCTTCAGGGAAATGGGACCGGGGCCTTGCTTCGGGCCATGGGGTGGACATCTCTGCAGCCCCACGTCCCTCCTGCGACGCCCCCCATGCCTTGTCTTTACCCTCTTTCCTAGCGGCATAGGTTAAGTGATTCGGTGGCATTTTTTACACCTCAGGCCAAGCTCAGGGCCAAGGAGAACCCGGAATTCCAGTTGGGTTGTGTAACTACGTGAAGGCACTCGTGTAGATTTAGTCTGAAAACCCCACTGAAGCCAAAATGGTTTGTCCGCCCCACAGGAACTCCGTCTTCATAAATGACTGCCTCCTTTTCCCTCCAGGAACACCTGCTGAAGGAAGGGCTGGCCTGGCTGGACCTGCAGGCCCCAGGGGAGGCCCACTACTGGCTGCCGGCTCTCTTCACTGACCTCTACTCCCAGGAGATTACAGCCGAGGAGGCCAGAGAAGCTCTCCCCTGACTCCACGAGTGCAGAAGGGGCCCCCACGGCAGGCAGGGACAGGGTGGAGCTGCTGGTGAATAAAACCTGAATCACTTTTTTCTTTTTTGAAAAGAAAGAAAAAGTTCCAAGTTTTTTCTCTCCTCAAGACTCTTCACCCATGATTTTATTTTAAAGTGCCTTCACATTGCATCTTTATTGGAGAAAACCTCATTTTATCCAGTAAGGATAACCTGAGTAACAGAGAACAGTGAGCGTGTACGAAATGACGAAATGACCTGCACAGGTCATCTACAAGTTCATGGTAGAGCTGGGTCTACAACGAAGGTGGTCTGTCTCCTGGCTAGACAGTCTAGTTTCTCTGTAGCCCTGGGATGTACATTATAGCCCGCTAATTCAAACCTTGTCCTTATAAAAATGTTTATCTCAAACGAGCAGACCCTGATGGACCAGTAATAGCCACTCGTTCAGTCTCCTCCAGCTTCCTCTAGAACTTCCAGGTTCTGACAGACTTGGCCGAGTGTGAAGGAAATAGAGGTCAAAATTAGGTGGTGGTTAGAGGAAAGAATCTATGGAACCTGGGGGAGTGGCCCAGCAGTAGACACAGTCGTCGAGTTCCGCACCAGCTCCCCTCCTGTGCTGATCGCTAGGTCCCCCTGGCCTTAGCGGCGGGAAGGGCATCATTTACTGAACACCTACCCTGGACCATCTTCTCGACCCTTAATCCTCACGGCCACTTTCACCGGTTCAGGGAGTAGGTTCTTACTGTCTTGGGTGAGGAACTGAAGTAGTTCACCGGGGGCCACCAGCTTCGGAAGCAAAGCGAAGAGCCAGAGCCTAAGTCCACTGCCGCGTGGGCCTTCACTTTCCTACATCCCGGCTGGCCCAGCACAGGCTGGCCGGGTATCTCGGACTGTCTTCCTAGCCGCGGGGTCAGCCAAGAGGAAAAGAAAAGCCTCGGCGCCTGAAAGCCAGAGCCCTTCTTTAGCAAGTAGGGAAGGAAGGTGGCTGTATGAAGCTGTCTTCGTGGTCTGAGTGCTGAATTCCTAAGAGCTGGTTTAGAAGCAGAAATCTGAAAACCCAGTAGGGTTTGGATTATCCAGGACTTAAAGACGCCCTTTCCTTACCCAGAGATACAGTCTAGATCTGCCTGTCCTTGGAGGACATGCTCCCTTCCCAGTTTGTGAAGAAGGCGCTCTTTGGAAGCAACTAAGACCAAGATGGCATTCCTCTCCTTGACTGCCAGAGGTGGTCTCAAAAAAGGCCCTTCTACTTCTGGTTGGCGGGACACTCGGCCCCAGCAGCCCTGCTTCCACCCGTGTCCTGTAACCGGAGTTTCCAGCCTCCAGACAATGCATCGAACACTTTCTCCCTGACAGTTTCAGACCTAGGTGAGAGGTGTGGTTGTTGAGAATCCCAGTCTCCCTTGACACAAACCCTCCCACACCCACAGGCGCTTCCTCCTTCTGCCAAAACAAACTTTATTGCACCAAAAAGAAAAAAAAAAAAACTTCATTTATGTACAGTCAGATATAAAGACATCTC